GGCTAGCGATAGCAGAAACAATGTTTTCTGTGAGAGAAATTCAAAGTTTGTCGATTCCAAGGGTTCATAGACCTCACTCGTGAGGTGTTGTAACACTACATTCAGATCCCAAGCTGGGGCGTGGAACTTCCGCTTTTGGTCCTCCAATCGGAAAGCTCGTAGTAAGGCCAGTAACTCTGGAGATCTTGTCAATTTGACACCCGTTCTCATGGTGATTACAGAGCTAAGCGCGGCAAGATATGTTGATATCGTTGAACCTTTTAAATGTTTGTTTTGCGTAGGTAACACAAATAGTCTGCCACTTGAGGTTGTGAAGCCTCTCTTGCTGTAAACCCTTTCTTTGTTGCATAATTTTCGAAACTGTGCCACTTGTCGTCGTACAAGTTACGAGTTGAGTAACGTAAGGCAAGCGTGACTGCTTTTGCCGCCCTGGCAGAATATCCTCTCTTGTTTAAACACATTTGTATACAGTCCATACGTGTAGTTGGAACATTGCTGGGTTTCCGTGCACTTGTTTGGTGTGAGGATGAATTAACAGGTTTGCGCGCTTGGGTAGCTCCAGTGTTGGTTGACCGATTTCTTGAATTAGTATGGAAACCACGTTCTGGCAAACCAGTAGGGCGCGACCAAAGTGAGTTGTAGGCTCTGTGTTTGTCTGATTTTCTGTAATACTTGAGGTATTATTGCTGGCGGCTGAAACGCGTACGCATTGAGGCCTTCCATGATAGACTTAGAGCGTCCGTTGCCCAAGCTTGGGGTCTGGAACTGGTGACACGAATGTCGGTAGCTGATTGTTGAATCGCGTGGCGAATAGGTCTATTAGCGGCGCTCCTAATTGCTTGATTATCTGTGCAAAAATTTCCCGGTTGATCATCCACTCTGGCTGGGTGATGGTAGATGAGGCGAGAGAAGCGTCTGCTAGTATATTTCTGGCTCGGGAATGTGCACTGCTTTGACATGTAGATTTAGATCTTGTATTAAATCGAACAGTTGAAAACTTAGGTTCAAAAGGTTCATCGATCTGGTTGAGCCTTGCTTGTTTATGTAAACGCCACTGTCGAATTGTCTGTATGGATCATTAGGCTAGCATTTTGTAGAAATATGTGCTCCAATGTAGAAATGGCGTTGATTACAGCTTTCATTTCTAGACTGTTTATATAGGTTTGCATTCTTGCTGATTCCATAACCTGATATCGTGTGGTTGGTGAGATGAGCTCCCCAACCTTGGGTAGACAGCTGTCTACATACAGATGGGTTTGTATTCCTGCTCTGCTAAACAAATCCCTTCGAACATTCGATTTCTTGGTCCACCATAGTAGATGTGGTCTGAGATGTTTCCGGTTAGACTGAATGGTTGTACATCGTTGAGATGTCGTTGATGAGGACCTGTAGGGGACGTAACTGTAATCTGCCTGTGACAGTCATGTCTTGGGCTGATGTGAAGACCTAGTAAGGCTCTGCCATTGTCGCAGTGGAGTAGCGGAGAGTAGAGCTGGTGGAATGGTCTGTTGTATCTTGAATAGCAACGGTCTTCTGGTACCATATCTGGTTGCGTTTGTGATGAATCGAATACCTAGGAACTGTAGGTCTTGCGATGGTACTAGGTCCGACTTGCGTAAGTTTACTAACCCAACCTAGTTGTGTTAGTAGCTTTATGATGTAGTTTAACTGTAGTTTGAGGCGCGCGTGGATCTTGATCTACTTGTATCCCGTCGTCGAGGTAAAGCGCGCTGCGTAGCCCTTGACGATGTAGAAATTTGATAATCGGTTTCGTTATCCTCGTGAATAGCCAGGGGCTGATGATATTCGAATGGAATACTTTCCACTGGTAATGTAGCCCTTCTAGAGTAAATCGTAGGTATTTCCTGGAATCGGGGATGAATGGGGATGTGCAAGTAGGCATCCTGTAGATCTATAGCTGCCCATGTAGTCCATAGGGCCAGAATCATCTGGCGTAACTGAGGTAAATGTATCATCTTGAAACCGGATTGGTTTCGTGTAGATAGTTCTTGTTGAAAAAGCTCATGTTGTAGATGAGTCTGTATTTCTCCGTGGAGTTTTCTTGGGAACTAGGAAAACTGGGGAGTAGAAACCTGGTTCGACGTTTGCTTGATCTATTACTTCTATGGCCTGTTTGGATAGGGTGATGAGACAGCCTCTTTTATCTTTGGTAGTTGTTGGCTTATGTCGAACTTGGGGGTTTGATTGTCAGGGGAAGCTTGTCCTGTGAGGATCACGAAATCCGTGTTGAATAATGTTGGAGGCGTAAGGATCTTGCAGTATTCCCAGTTTTCCCAGTGTAGTTGGAGCGTCCACCCACTTGAGCTGGTTGTACTGGAGCGGCTGGGGTGGAAGACTCCAGTCGTTCGAACCTGTGTTTCAGCGTCTATAATTGCGGGAACCTCTGGGTGTCCTGCCTCTTCCTGATCCTCCTCTATAGTTGCCATATGGGCTGACGAAGAATCTTTACCTCTAGAGCTGGCTATCTTCCTGTCTCTTGCTCTTTGTAGACCCGTGAACTTAGATCTGCCTGAGTATCTTTGTGAAGTCTGACGAATGGCGCTGGCTAGTGTGTCCATCGATCTAATCATAAGGACTTCCCTGGAATCCTTAGAGACTTCCTTGGCGACCTTGTCGATTTCTCCGTCAAAGATGGATGTTGTATACCAGGGGCTGTATAAAGTGGGGCTGTAAAGTTCTCCCCAATTACAGGAAGGAGGAGGCCTTGACGGCGAGCTAAGGTCAGTGCTGCTGAAACAGATGTAAGATGATCCGTTAAAACTGCTGATCTTTCTTTTGCATAAGTAAGGCAGAATAAATCATTCTATCATCTTCCGTCGTGGAATCCGGAATCTAGTAATCAGAGTCTCATTGATGGAGTCCTAGATCTATTTAACCCAAAGAACATCGTCTAAGTCATGGTTTCTATATGAGCCAACTTGCGATCATCCATCTTGTAAATCTTGTTCTTTACATAAGCTGATGATCTTATAGTTCTCATCGATGTCCTGGGCCTAATGTAAAGGAGTCCATGTTATCGTGGAGAACTTCTTGGCGAAAGTTGGGTAGATGTGGTATCTGAACTTTCGTGGCTTTCTGGAAAGCTGCATCTAGATTCTGTGGCACTGTCGCATGTCGGATTCGATCGAGGGGTAGAGTGATTGCATCTGGATCATCTTCCTTCATCAAATCGTCTGAGCTGTATTGCCACTTTTAGATGGTGATGTGAGATCTAGGTTATTGACCATCCAATACCGTATCTCTGCATCAGAAAATATGATTCCTCCATCATCCTCAAAACCATCATCATTAATAAATTGTAGATGCTCTTCGGGACTGCGTGTAGCTGTCTGAATATCTGATGAGGTTTGTGGCGATCTAGTTGACTTGTGCGCCGCTCTATGTGGAGATCTGATGGGTGATCGACCTGGTGATGAGCGGGTGGAGATCGTCTATGGGATGATCTTCGGGAGACTTGTGAGGTGAATGTTGATAGCTTCGCGAAGCTCTTCGGCAGTCCCTCGATGTTCTTCTAGACGATGAAGATCTGGAATCATATGTCTTTCGCGAATGCCTTCGCGAAGCTTCATTTGCGTCGGTCCGGGGGATGCGATGATATGACCTTGAAGGCTTCCGTGATGTCTGATGGTCTGAGTCCATATCTAGAGATGAAATCGAAGATGGTGATGATCTCTCCGCCTTCGCGAGGCCTTGAAGGCTGTACATCTAGGTCCTTCGTCAAAGGTGGTGCGGGACTTCCTTAGCGAAGGTGACATCGTCTTGGCTGCTTCGTTGGCGGGGGTGCCTCTGGGGTGCTGTCTACGTTGGAGCCTTCGCGGCTTCGGACCCTGCTTGCGCGGTTTGTAGTGGTCCTCCATGATGTTCATAATCTGCGCATCATGTCTTCTGGGATGATCTGTGGCGAAAGTCGTCGGCGTCTTTTCTGCGATGGGGTTCACATCAATGGCGTCTGGCGATGCGGTGTAGAGGCATCAGGCTGCATGGAGATCTCTGCAGAAGTCACAGTCGCTGACACGGTCGCTTCTTCTGCGTAAGTTAGGGGATGATTATCGGCTGATCATCGTAGAGGCCCAACTCTGCTGCTGGAGCGATCTCGGCTGAAAAGTTCTTGCTGTCTTAAATGAATTTCCCTTTGGAAGTCTGCGCTGCCCTGGGTGTCCTCAATCTGCGTTGAGGCGGCGATGAGGCCCTCTTAGATCTAGTCTGCAATGGCGGGATGTCTGGGGAGGCGGTCGTTTCTTGAGGTAACGGACTGCGTCCCGTTCCTCTGCGCGGGGTCTCTAGCAGAACACCAGGCGGGAGAGGTCGATCGCTAGCAGCTGACTGGAAGGAATATCTGGACTCTCTGCCATGTTTTGCCCTTGTTTGCGTGATCTATCTGCATGCGTCTTAAGAGCATAAAAGATGATATTTATTAAATGCAGAATGAGATAAATTAATGCAGTAACTGCAAGCGTGAATTAAGCGCGCAGCATAGAACAACTAGGGCATATTACATGTGGATCGGGAGGCAGAAAAATTAATCTACAAATCGTACAGATTTTCATGAGCGTAAAAGCTAGCTGAACAATCACGAATACGTGAATAAACAGTAGAAATCACGATAATTAATCAATACAAATAGTAAAGGATACTAGCTATACCTCTATAGTAACCTATGAGAGGTAAAACTAAGAGATTATCAAAGGATATGTGTGTAAGGAGACACAAAGCGCTCTCACATCCTGCTCACTGGGCGAAAAGAAGGAGAGTGAAGCACATGGCCAGAGGGTGGCGACACCTTTTCCCGCCAGGGGACAAAGGGGAGCAACTCGTGGTGAGTACCAATTAGTGATTTTATTTTGAAGGGAGCTTCAAATAAGGAGATACAAGTGTTCCACTATGTTCGCAAGAAGAAGAAGACAAGCAAAAGAGCATGAGTCAGGATAAGGAAAAATCTGAGCATTTCAACATATATATATAAGGGACATGTCAATAGATATTTCAATATTCGATTTCATTTGGGGGTGGGGGGATTAGTTTTGGATGGGGGGTTGGGAAAGAGATTTTATTGTAAGAAATAACTTGTTTTCTGTGTTGATGGTAAAAGGTACCTGCTACACTCTTCCTTTCATTACAAAAAATGTCTTGGTGTAATGATCTGCAAAATATTGCAAGAGGACTAAATGGTTGGTCCCTACAATTTGGGATTGAGTGATGGGACTGACTGGTGTCTGATTTACAAGTCTTGGCCCTTGTCAAGGTCAAGTTTAACAAGTTATATAGCTGTAATACTGGCAACGTGCATCAATCTCAAGAACAATAGTTCTTTGTTTGTTGTCATGTGGTAATCTCACTGATTAAGTTAGGAAGTTTTAAAGTCATTAGGATCATTGAAGAATTGACTGAAAAGCTGACAGAGAAGGTGTATACATTTTCGTTGGTATGAAAAATGGAATGTTCCAAAAACAATTCAATCACTGTGGTATAACTTGATGGGAGGGCATGAGCAGACACAGGCCACTGTGAAGCAGACGATAGACAAAGTCTTCAAGTATGTCAGGACAGACACTATTTGGTACAGTACTTGGAATAGTTCCACTTGGTCATACACAAGCCACAGTTTCATGCCACGCATGACGACCCTTGAATATCAGAGGAGCTGAGATGTTATTGAGAACAAAATATATTCACATCAGTCTTGTTCATGTACAAACCTTGAGAGCACACCAGTGTGAGAAGACAGTTGTCTCCATCATGTTCATAACATGTCCAATGCTCAGTCAGGTTACTCTCCTTTTTATCTCCGGCAACAGGACACTGAAAACCTTACACAGTGGTCCTTGAAAACCTTATGTTTGATCATAAAGGTTGTGAAAATTCTTACCAAAATCTGGCACAAAAACCTAAACAAATGAACATGTGAACCAGTTAGGGTCCAAAGTCTTCAAATCTTGATCTTGATAACACACAAGTCATTTATCAGAAGTTGGCAAAGCAAATCCCAGTTCTTTTGACCATAGACATACAGAAAACATGGTCTTAATTCATTCTGTACAATCCAGTGTAATTCCGGATTCTGGCTGTGGAGACTGTGTGAAGTCTGGAGCTACCTCAACCAGTTGTCAAGGGTATCATCATCAAGGAACAGTTCAAAATTCAGCAGTGTTAGAACATTGTGTACAATATCATAATGTAGAGGTAAACATCTCTTTCATACACATATCTTTCCACATGCTCTGTATGGAGTCCACGAGAATGTGAGCGTCTTCTATTCTGGTGTCTGTGACTTAACTAGCTGGTGGACAGGTCCTGTAAGCCCTCAGTCAGAGTTGTGGTGTCTTCTGTGGAGTCACTCAGAGATGGAATGCTGAATGCTGAAGCTGATGCCTCAAACTGGGTGCCACAGTCCCCTTTCCAGTAATCCTTGTGGTACGCATGTGACTGTACAAGATAGGAACAAACATTACACAGAGAATGAACAAGGGTATATACAACAGTAAATAGAGGATATTATACGAGTGCCCATGTCATACTATGTTTACAAGTGTCGTAAACATAGTATGATATTGGCACGAATATAATATTTTGTTTATTACCGAAGTCGTCAAATTGAGGAAAATAAACCCACATCCACTTTCAAACATAGGCTGGCTTCCCACCATAGAACTAAGGCTGCAACGAATACACTATGTGGCGAGTATGATACGTATCATGAATATTGGGTAACAAATACGAATAATTATTCACAAATACAATATTGCAGTTAAGTGATTGATGTACAATATGGGACGCCCATTTTGATTTGTCACAGCAACAACCAGTGATCTCATGGCACTCAAATTTGGTATGTAATAGTTATAATCGACAGTACCACGTGCAGTTTTGGCAGACTTGGCGAGTGAATCGTTACAGCCTTATATAGAATGCAACGTCACAGAAGAAACGTGACATCAAAGTATTGTTCATGACGTCATGTCACCATGACAAAGTGATATTTTGCCCTAGGGCATCGTATGAAAAATATGAACCCCGATATTTTCGCCCTCGTAGGTAATAAATATGGATACGGTAACATTCAGGGCATCATCTTATCCACTCAGTCACATATAGGATTAATCAACTGATATATAGTTAACGATTATTGATACCTATAATATAGCCAGACCTAATGACACAATTGTGTTTAATGCATGAAGTAAGACTGAAATACAATATCCCTGACGTGTCTAAAGTACACCCCATGTCCTCAGAGACGCTAAGTATCAAACACTGCAAACCATGGTATTCACACTGTCATAAAATCTCACCATTTTAAGGTTCCTGTTCCACACTCTCCCACATTGACCTTTGCACATAGGGCAAGGTCGGGTCATGGCAAAGTTCCCACACTCTTTACAGTTCGCTGTGAACACATTGTCAAACCAGACTTTGCCACACCTGAAAACATAGTGACTTTTAATGAATATATCCTACAAATATACTACATGTATGTATAAAGTTCAGGATCACAAGATGGGACACAAAAATAAAAATTTAGAGGACAAACTCAAATTGCTGGTGTCAGATAATGATGTTGGAGTATGAAGTGTCAGAAATAAATTGTAAAATGACCCAAAGGAATATATCAAACACCTGGCCCTCACCTAATGCAACAGTGTTTCGGTTAGCAATGATATATAGCTGTAAAACATGGCTTGTAGTGACAATGAAGTGCTGTTGGTTCCTGGGTCTAGAAATATGTCTTCTGACTTCTAAGCATTAACAGTGTACAATCTCAATTTTTGTAATGGACCACAAAATTAACCACAGCTGCAAATGGAAAATGAAATAAGACTAGAGATAGAGATTTCTGCTCTAAAATAAATATCAGTAGAGACAGATAATTTATCGTCTTTGCTCTCTTTTCATTTAATGCAGTGCTCTTACTGATTTTTGTGAGAACTTATCACAAGCCTAATGCACAGTCATAAACTCTCGGAATTTTCAAACTTGGATAGGCATGATGAAACATGAGAACAAGTACTCTGATCTTCATTTGACAATTATGTGAACAATCGGAACCTGACAGTTTGTGATGAATATGATGATGATCATAGTTACAGCTGCTTCACGAGTACTATGTCAAGTTAACCTTGTTCTCCAAAACATTTCTCAGTTAGACAAAGTCAGTGGTCTAAAATATATAGCGGCTGTGTGTAATTTTAAGGAAAAGAAACTGGCAAACTTGTATTGTATTAACTATCTTCTTGCTGGGCTCATTGGTGTTACTGTAACATCCAGCAGATCTAAAACCGACCAAGAATCTGACCCATCTGACCCCCAACACAATCAGTGAAGAAGAAATTGATTTTCAACACCATCCTTTTTGTTTTCAGTATTAAGGCCAAACCAAATATGGAATTACTTTTTATTTACCATTGCAAGCACCTTTTTTGGTGATATGGCTATAAAATGTACAAATAATTTGACGATATACACAGGTAGAGAGTCACACTCACAGGTGGCAGGTTGAGATCTTCCTCTGGTAGGCCTCTGACTGCATGAGTTCCTCGACCTCGTCACGGGTGTAGTCTTTACCCTGCTGGGAAGCCAAGTCGGTGTTGGGAGGAACTTGTACAGCATAATAGACTGTGGCCTTCGGACCATTCAAAACCTCATCAACTGTCAACATGGTATCACTTCAGCAATCAGGTACACGATCTTACCAACACAGCAAGTATATACAGTCAAGCACTGCAGCATCAAAGTTGATGGGACCTACATGGAAATACTACTTACAGCTAGCCAAGGTTGGACACATACACAATATGATGACTAAAAAGGAATATGAAGGAACCAAGCTTTTACTTTGAGTGAGTATTGTCTTGTGTATTAGCAAAATCATGGCACAGGACACCATAAATGGGCTTTACACTTTGTACCCAGTATTGAGTCAACTGTAAGTTTGACACATCAAAGATCTACACAACGGTGTCTGACTATATATGACAAACTTATGCCCTTGTTATCCGTTAAGCTATTTACTTAATTAGTAGTACTGAGAAGTTCTTTCATACTATGAATATATCTGATAATAACGTCAAACCATGTACATTACGGAACTCACATGGTTTCTAGAATAAGCAAAAACAAAACTAAACTCAAAATTCATCAAACTTATATATTTATTTAATAAACATGGTAACCATTTCAAGATGTCATTTCTATTTTGGGATTAAGTACAAAAGATCCTAGTAAGAAAAGAGAAGGGATTAGTTCAGGGAATTATGAGCTTTATACATTCAACTAATCAGAATGCAGCAAAGACTCTCATTCATCTTACAAAAATACATAACAGCAGAATTGAGAACAACAAACATGACAAATTGCACAAGTCTTAATACATATGGACGTCCATTGTCTTAACAAATATTTTATAAGATGTAAGGTATCGAAAGGTTTTCCTAACAGTTGGCCAGGTTATTTCTACATTTGAAATGATAACTGCAGAAACACATTCTCGTCTTTTTCACTTTTCAACAATGATAACACAAATCATACCTTCATTGTCAGCAACAGAAGGTACCACCTCCATGGCTTCTTCTTCCACACTTTCATCATCAGCAAACCCCTCATCATCACCGGTCTGACGTCCACCCTCACCACCATGATTTGCACTCATTTTGGGGTAAATGCTGAAACAGATATGACTGCATATAGGCTAAGAACACAATAATTACAGGGTTTATGATACACGCAAATGTGCGTCCAGTATACAGAAATGTATACAATGGACGCAGAAAAAAACCTCTCTGCATCCAAAGGGACGCACAATATTATTTACTGTACCCGCAACACATCTATGACTTAGGTAAGTGTTTGGATGTTTCTTTCAGAGCAGTTACGTGCATAATTTCACCCATCAGTCCAGATTATCAATGACTCATTTCAGACTCTAAAGAAATTATCACAACACACAGTTCTCCACACCATTACTTCACAGGACCCTTGTATTGCCTGCATTGACCCTCAAAAATGTAATTTTCTGACTAAAATTGATATTTTATACTTATCCTGATTCATGCTTATTGCTTGTCTCCCTTTCCTTCCGAATGCTAGTGGAACACTTGAATCCCCTTTTGAAGCTCCCTTCAAAAAAGCGGACGTAAAATCACTTACCAGGAGTCACCTCCCTTGCCAGGTTTTGGCGGGAACGGCGCCACCCGTCTGCCATGCTCTTCACTCTCTCCGTATTATAACCCGACACACTGGTTTACTGGGAAATCCAGAGTGCCTTGAGGGGAGGTTGGGAGGGCTTACCTCATGAGTCAGGATAAGTATAAAATATCAATTTTAGTCAGAAAATTACATATTTTTCCTTATCCTGACTCATGCTTATTGCTTGTAGAATCCGACGGTATAGGTGGTGGGTCAAGCTACCTCTGGATTCCTTAGTGATGAATTTACGTCCTATATACCCCCATGGGAACTTAAAATGGCACTGCTGCTGTTGATCCATATGTCGAAATAATTTGGTAATTTGGGGGACCACAATATATCAAACTCTTCTGTAACCGTACATGTGGATTTAAATAACTCCAACTCTTGATGGTCATTATCAAGTGGGTAGAGACCCTATCCATGTACAAGTAATTCCTTACTAGTACAGGGTCTAATATTCATGCTAGTCTGTTCTAGACGTGTACATGGACTATAAGCTCTATTCCTTGGAGTACGAGCTTTGCATGACATGCGGTAAAAGGGCGAGATACATCTCAGCGCCTTTGAGGGACCGTCAGCTGTTGAGCTACAACCAGAGGTCCAAACTGGTGGATACCGGAGACGTCCTCGGTAGCAAAGTCTCTGAGGTAGTGGTTGGCAAATACTGTCTCCGATTTCCAAAAACACCCTTCCATGATCGTGGATATTGAGCAGTTTCCATGTAGAGCGAGTGCAGATGCCAGTGCTCTAGCTTTGTGCGGATTGCTGCCTTGTAGGCTCATAGTATGATTGCTCTCATCCAAACTGATATCGTAGTACGTGAGATCTCTGTGGGTGTCTCCGACGATATGGGGATGAAAAGGCGTTTGAATTTTCGTCTCCTGGTTTTACACTTCTGTAGATATATTTTCAGCGCTCTGACTGGACATAGGGATAAATCTTGTATATCCTGTGGACCAAGGATTGTAGATAATGCTGGGATGTGGAATTGTCTGTCCGGTTGACCTGGCAGTTGATTCTTAGCTATGAAATCCCACCTCAATCCTAGATGAACCGTGTTGTGACGTGTGTCAAAACGTATCCGTTCAAAGTCCAGCGCATGTATTTCTGACATACGTGCCGCTGTAGCCAAGGCGATCAGAAATAGCGTTTTCTGTGTAAGAAATTCGTAAGAAGTTCTTTCTAGTGGTTCGTACACATCACTGGTGAGATGTCGTAACACCACGTTGAGATCCCAAGCCGGCGCTTTAAATTTCATTTGTTGGTCTTCCAGTTTAAAAGAGCGTAGCAAGGCCAGTAACTCTGGCACCTTGGTCAGTTTCACGCCTGTCTTCATAGTGATATCTGAGCTGAGAGCCGCTAGGTATGTAGATAATGTCGAACCTTTTAATTTCCTCATTTGTCTGAGATGACAAAGTTATTCCGCCACTTGAGGATGTGTTGCTTTCACTGCAGTGAAACCTTTCCTCGATGCATATTTCTCAAAGCTTTGCCACTTGTCGTCATACAAGTTACGAGTAGATCTGTGTAAAGCTAGTGTAACTGCTTTCGCTGCTCTGGCAGAGTATCCTCTTTTCGACAAGCAATTCGTGATACGTTCCATACGTGTAGGTGGAACAATCTGGGATACTTGTGAACTTGCTTGGTGTGAGGATGAATTAGTAGGTTCGGCCAAACTGGAAGTTGTATTGTTGGTTTTCCGATTTCTTGTAAAAGAACTGGAAGCCACGTTCTTGCTGGCCAGTAAGGCACGACCAAAATCAGTTGTAGATTGTTTGTCTGCCTGATTTTCTGTAATACCTGTGGTATTAACGCTGGTGGAGGGAACGCGTATGCGTTTAGCCCTTCCCATGGGATGCTTAGAGCGTCTGTCGCCCATGCTTGCGGATCGGGAATTGGAGAGATGAATGTTGCCAGTTGATTGTTGACTCTCGTGGCGAATAGGTCTACGAGTGGAGATCCTATCGTCTGTATGATGCATCTGAACGCTTGTGGATGTAACATCCATTCTGTTGGGGATGGTTGATGTGGTCGAGATAGCGCATCTGCTATTACATTCCTGGCTCCCGGAATGTGACATGCTTTCACATAAATGTTGAGATTGTCTATTATGTTGAAAATTTGAAAGCTCAGGTCTAGAAGATTGCAAGATCTTGTTGATCCTTGTTTGTTTATGTAGAACGCCACTGTTGAGTTGTCCGTATGGATCATCAATTTTGCGTTCCTTAGTACTTTGGACCAATGTAGTAGGGCATTTACTGCTGCTTTCATCTCGAGCATGTTGATATGCAGATTCATTTCTTGTTTCGACCATTTCCCGGCAACCACTTTGTTGTCGAGGTGTGCTCCCCAACCGTGCAGTGATGCGTCTGTGTAGAGGTGGACGTTGCACTCCCGGCTCTATTAAGTAGTTTCCGTCGCAAACATTCGACTTCTGAGTCCACCATAGTAGATATGGTTTTAGCCTGTCTGGTATTTCGAAGGGATCCAGACTGTGTAAGTGGGCGTTCACAAATCTCTGTAGTGGATGCAGTTGTAGTCTCCCTCTGCGTGTCATGTCTTGAGCTGACGTGAGGAGACCTAATAGGCTCTGCCATTCTCGTAGTGGTAACGGAGAGAGTAGAACTTGAGAGATCATTTGTTGAATCTTGATCCAACGATCCTCTGGAACGAGAATGCGATTCTTCGTTGTTATAAGCCGTATTCCTAGGAATTGCAAGTCCTGAGTAGGCTGTAGTTCCGACTTGAGGAGATTTACTAGCCATCCTAGTTGAGTGAGAAGTCTGATGGTGAAGTTCAGTTGCAGTCTGAGTTGACTGGGATCTTGCTGAGCTTGAATCCCGTCGTCTAGGTAGAACGCACTGCGTAGGCCTCGACGATGTAGATATATATTGATGGGCTTTGTCACTCGAGTAAACAACCAGGGGGGCCGACGATATTCCAAATGGCAGGACCTTCCATTGGAAATGACGTCCGTTGAACAGGAATCGTAGATATTTCCTTGATTCCGGATGGATTGGGATGTGTAAGTATGCATCCTGTAAATCTATGCTGGCGAGATAGTCTAGCCGGACGTATGAGCTGTCGTAGCTGTGGAAGATGTATCATCTTGAACTTTATTGGGTGGTAGGAGGTAATCTTTGTTGAATTTCCTCATGTTGTAAATGAGTCGAACTTTTCTTTTGAATTTTTCTTTGGTACCAGAAAAATTGGGGAGTAGAAACCTGGGGTGACGCGGTGTTTTATCTCTTCTATTGCCTCTTTCTCTAGTAGAGATGTGATGGCTTCTAGTAGATTTCCTTCTGGTCTGCAGCGTGGTTGTGAACCATAGGGTTGATTGTTACTGGTGGTACTGCTTGTAGCTGTATCCTGTAACCTGTCGTAGAATCTGAGATACGAAGTCGTCTTGAAGAATTCCCCAATTCTTCCAGTAGAGTTGCAGACGCCCACCCACTTGTGAGGGTTGTACTGGAACGGCTGGGGTGGAAGACTCCAGTCGTTCCGAACTTGTATTTCATCGTCTGGAACTTCTGGCCCGAAAAGGCCGACCTCTTCCGTAGTTACCTCTTGGAGCTGCGGATGGGCGAATTTAAAAGAATCCTTATTTCCTTTAGCGTTGCCTGATTTCTTATCCCTTGCTCTCTGGATGCCTGCAAACTTGATTTGCCGAATAACGTTGGGAGGTCTGACGTATTACACTGGCCAGTGTATCGATAGACTTGATCATCATTACTTCGAATCTTTAGCGACTTCCTTGGCTTACTTCATCATCAATTTCTCCTGCAAAAATGGATGGTGCTGACCAAGGGGCTCTGTAGAGTGTCTTGGTAAACTTCTCGCTCCAAGTACATGAAGATAACAGTCCTTGCCTTCTTGATAATGTTAAGCCTGCAGAAATGGATGATAGATGTTCAGACATGAACTGATGATCCTTTTTCTGTGTAAGTAGAGCTGAATAAATCATTCTATCTTCCTCTGAAGTTGAATTCTTAAACTTCGAGATGAGAGTCTCGTTGACAGCTCTTGACCTGGCTAGGCCGAAGAAGGTTCGTCTGGTTACTGTGTCTAACTGTGCCAGCTTTTTATCTTCTATCTTGTAAGCTTTAGTCTGAGTGTAGTTGATGATCTTATAATTCTCATCTATCTCTTGGGCCTTCATGTGGTGTAGAGAGAACTTCTTAGCGTTGAACAATGGAATACTCTGAGTCTGGTATTTAGTTGCCTTCTTGAAGGCTGTGCTGAGGTTGTCTGGAACGTCTAAGACTGGGTCGATAGGTGGCATCGTGAGTGAGTCTATATCATCATTCACCATCAAGTATGATAGTGCTTCGTTGGTCTCCTTAGAGGGTGATGCGAGTTCCAAACCGTTGGCCATCCATGACTTGATTTCCGCCGTCATCTTCCTGCTCTGAGGATGGATGTCTTCTATTGTCGTCTGAACGAGGCGATCTGTAAGGTGATCTGTAAGACGATC